GCAGAGCATCTCTTCTTTTGTCCTAGTGGCACACATTGAGATTGATGCGAGATTAAGGACCATCACCCTCCTAACAATCGATGGAAATGACAATTCATCTGAATTTTTTGTCAGTTATTCTCACGTTGATTACCTGAACGTGTGTACCTCATTTATAGATGCTTTATTAAAACAAAACTGTCTATGTCACTTTCGTATCTTCCACTGTTTTACAAAAGTCAGCTAATACTACAGCCAAGTAACTTCATTTCCTTACCTCTAAATCAGCTGGATGACAAACCTAACCTGTTTTCTTTCTGTACGCGTTAGTTTATATAATAGGTTCTGCATTGTCAGATCTATGCTGAACCTATTGTTTTCAGTAGTAGTCCGATTTGTCCCTGTGATAAGCCCTGCGGAGATGTGATTATTCCAATAAAAATTCATTCAGTTGGAAACCAACCCTCCAGCTGTTTACTCCCACAGTCCCCGAGCTACACTAACACTGTATGGAATCCTCGAACAATATTTAATGTGGAATCATAAGCATCTTTAAAACATTTTACTTTAGGCTCTATAACATTGTGTAACCTTAACAATAGATTTCTAGCATCCATGAGGGAACACTTTACAGTTGGACAACTTTGAGCCTTGACTGCCCTCTTCATCTTTGTGGAAAGCTATCGAAACCCTCCAGTACCTAACGAACACAACTGACAGTAAGATTTCAAGTGCTCATGTGTGCACTCTCTATATTGCATATAACAAAAGGTATGCAACTCCCAAAGTTTCTCGAAAAGAAAACACGTCCGAGTGAAAACTATATACTGCCATGCTAAAGCCAGCTCTGGCACGTATAACGTATGCATCAGTTTGCAATTGTAGCTGCTTCAGCGTTCGGCAGCACAGAGACACTGTAAATCTATTACATATGTTCTTTTCTGGGATAAAAAGAGTTTTGCTTTTTAAGGAAGAGCTATGCTCTTTGCCTTATTTATTTTAATGTTCTAGGCTTGAAAAGCAAATAGCTTGCACTCGCGCTCTTTTCCGTTTTGAGTATTGTTGGTGTTTTCGCTCTGTGGCAGGTCCAGTTGCCCTAAGCACACCAGCTCAGCTTGTGGCACCCTCAGTGGTAGTGAAAGGCACTCTTTAAACCATCACTCTTTCGGAGCTCTACTTTGAGGTGGATGAAGAAGATCCCAGTTTTAAGAAAATCGACCCCAAGGTAAGAGATCATTGACCCTGAGCTCTGAGAGATGATGACAAATTACCCAAGACCTTTAATTCTTCATTTGACTTCCTTTACCTCTATTGGTCCACAGTGTTCCTGTTTTAGCAAGTTTGTGACCGACCATATATGTTACTGAACTTCAGCTAGGTGACACCTCCTTTCCTTCTCCTTTTTCTCCCCCTCCCACAATTCGACCCTACTTGAATGTTAATTAGCTTGCTGCGAATAAAGCTCCGGGGAGGCATCTTAAATAAAGACATCTTGAATCACAGGCCTGTGTGAATACTGGAAAGTTCAACGAGGCTTTTAGCCCAAATGCTTTGTTTTACTTTTCTTTTTTTAATATAACGCCAGTGTAACATGGCGCTAAACTTCCTGCACTCCTAAGTCGTCAGTGCTTCTGTATTGTATTATTCTCTAACAGATTTTACAGGGCCTGTTATTGTTTATTGTGCCTAAGCAGAAAAAGTAATTGCCCTCTTAAAAATACGTTTCTGAACTGACTTGCTAATTTCCCCAAACTTTATTTGCTCTGAGTTACTTGATTACTAGCGTTTTGTTTAAAATCGGTAACCTTCAGTAGAAATACTCGCAGTATATTGTGCGAGTAGCTTGGTAGGTTGCACGTGAATGTTTTCTACAGTATTACAGCAACATTTCAAAAGCACGACATGATTGGTAAATATTCTCTGTCAATTTAAGCACAGGGATGGCTCTTGGTTTTTTAAATATCTGCTGTATATTAAACAGGGCAATAATTTCTTTGTGAAGGGGAAAAAAGTCACTGGAAGAAGTAGTGGTTTTCTGCTCGTCTGTAGAGAATACCTTGTGTGTTAAGCACCAGTTCAGTTCTTTGTTCCTATTGAGTAAATTGCTGCTGTCTATATTAAAAATGGCATCGGTGGGTCTGAAAGCAGGGATTATCATATCCTACCAAGGAATACATTTATTTTGGAAAACAACGCTCTCAGATTCTTCGAACTAGAATTAATACAAGCGATTAACTAGAATTGTGATTTTTATGTGATACAATAAGTGAGATTTAACTTTTCTGCTGGTCCTGAAGTATTTTTGAAATATTTTTGAAATGATTTCAAGTATGAGATAGCTCTTAAAATTTTGATACGCTTACTCTTTCCATGGTGTTTTTTTTAAAGACATTTAATGGTAAAAAGGATATAAATATAAAATGTAAAGATGGTTTGCTATGTTACCGTATTGCATTTTCCATCCAAAATGTTCTGCTTTGTATTGCATTAGCATGAGAAAAGTCTTACAGGTCCGCATTATTCTGCATTTTTGTTTCCCGTGGTTAGCACACAGGGCGTTGGAGTGCAGTTCCTAGCTCTTACTGGTCCTGTTACGTCTTTTAGGGGGACACTGGCATACAACATATATTCAGCTTGCTTTCTTTTCTCCTGTTTTCGAGTATTTGGTAGGGGTTGTTTTCTTAGCTGTGAGTAGGCGTTCTGGTTTGATTTGACTGTGTCTTTAATTCTGTATCCGAGAGATTTTGTTTGGGTTTATAAAAGGAGGAGTTGGTTACATGAAATACAGGCTACCCCTCTTACAGTCTACTTGTGATGCTACTTTAGCTGGAGGTCTTAAAAGAAAAAAAAAGACAGACCTTTTGTAATGTCTCTTGTGAGTGGGGGGGGGCTAAAAATCAAATTTGACTATTTTTACTTTAAAAAACAAATGAGCTCACAAGGCAGCTTGCTTTCAAGCATGAACGCCTCCCTGCCCCACCCTCTGCTTGAGTTACTGTACCTTGATAGCGGTGACTAGAGCTGCTGTAGAAAATGTCCTTGGGAAAAAAAAAAATATATAATCCTAATCGGCTGTAGCTCAGGCCTGTTTAATTAATGAGGCTTCGTCTGTCTGATAAATTTAAGTTCCTTGTATATTTGTCTAAACTACT